ATCACATTGTAAAAGACTACTCCCTTTCTACTGAGGCAGATGTATATAGCTTTGCTGACTCTACAGAGTAATTCAAAAGAAAAACAAGAAACAGAAACAATAAATCCCCATCAACTTGATACTAATATTTGTTAGTTTGACAGCTGTACATATACCATACTGCAAAGTACTGGCCAAGAGACAGAACACTTGTGCTCTTCTCTTACTTTGTCTTCAGAAAAAGACATGTGTAATATTAGGCTGTAAATATTTTCAGTCACTAATTTCTTCATTCAGTCATATAAGGCATTATTTTGAGGGTGGTCTACATATGGGAGCCTGGACAAGCCAGTCCTTGTGTGGCATTTTCCCACCAACTGTGTAGGGCAAAAGCACTTAACAGCAGTAGCATCATGAACTGATTGTGAGATGGCAAAATCTTTGGTAATATGGAGAACATATGTATCTAAGACAGATTAATATTGGCATGCTTTATGTGATATATTATATAAAATGTGTTTGAAATTTGTCAACATTGCACTGGTCCATTACAGATCAATCTTTTCTTTATCATTGCATTTTGGGCTTTCAACACAATCATGAAAGAAATAACACAGAGAATACACATGCCAACAGAAATGAAAAAATGGGAATTGCACTTGGAAAGGGAAGTGGGTCTTTCTGTAAAGAAGACTGTCTTTTATCTCCTCACAGGCCATATGCTGAGGAGGGCAAGCTATTCCCCAGATAAACGTGCAGGAAGGAAAAGCAGATACAAAGATAAAAATGAATCCATTATTACCGCTAATTTTTTAGAGAGGAAAGACAGCCCTCCTTGTACAGGGTTCCTCTAGTTCTTCAGATGATACAGATTAGTTTTGGACTTGTTGCACTGCACAGAGCTCTCTGTGCAGTGCAACAAGCAAAATGCCTGTGCTGCCAGTATGGACAATTTCCCAAATGTTTTCTCCCAACCAAGAATAACTTGCAATCAAGACCACTCACTGTACACTTGATTATTATACTTCCTCCTCAAAAAGTACACACTAGTAACTTCACCTGCTGGGTACCTCAGTCTCTCCTAACTTAATTCTCCCAAAAAGAAAATGACAACTGATAGCCTTATCTGAGGACTGATCCAAAACCTGTTGTATTCTATGTCTGTATTCATATTAGTGTTTTGTATGTGACAGGGCTTGTCCTTCTAAAAAAAATCCTCCACTTTTCCCCATTTACTGGGCTTTGGTTAACTTTTGGAGAGCCCTGGATTCTGTTTAAATGAAATTAAATGGGAAATGCACTCCAGAAGCATCCCTATGCATGCCAGCTCATGGTAGGAGGTCAGTCCATGAAACTAGACCAGAACTTAAGTAACCCTCCATTCCCAAACACCCATCCTGTAGGTGCCAGGTCCTTAGCAGCCACTCTTTCAAGCTTCAGATGCACTTTTGTTGTGCTGCCCTCCTTGTGAATAAAGATGTAGCTAAAAAATTCCCTTCTGGACAGCTGACACATGCACAGCCTTAAAAAGCTGAAAATAACCTTGCACAAACAAAGGGGAAGATTGGGCAGCATTTTAAGTCATGACACAGATTACCAGCCAAAATGGGAAAGTATGTTTTGTTCTTCTGTAATTTGACCTTTCTTCAGGAGCTGCAATTTTACACACAGAAAAGAAAATAAATGCAAAAATTGCTGTGGACAGTAACTTTTTTTTTTTTTTTTTTTTTTTTTTTTTTTTTTTTTGTGCTTTCCTGGGAACCTTATAATAAGACTATCCTAATTCCCCAAGGAGGTAAATTTTATATTTCTCCAGTGAGAATCCAGAGCCCTTCTGGATATTAATCCACTTCACAAAGTCATTACGAATAATTTAGCATAAAGGCAGCCTTTTTCCTCACAAGACAAAGCACAGAGACTGAAGCATTTGTAGAACTGTGTGAAAAACATACTGTAGCTGCCTTGGCTCCATTTGGATGGAGTATAAACAAAGATTTTGGCTGCAAATCCTGTCAATCTCTTAGTCTTATTTAGGACAAATATTCAGGAAAAACAATGATAATATAATTTGGCTTGCCTTTTTTTTTCCTTTCCTTTTTTTTTTTTTTTTTTTTTTACAGTGCTAAGTCAGTGCATAATTACTGGAAAGAATTTCTGACTGAATTTTAGATGAGCATTTTGATAAAATATAATATTGGAAACAATCTTTATCAAACATTCATGTGTAGTGTGAGAGATAAAAACAGGAATCCATAATTCATATGGCAGAATGTATTACCAAGTGTGAATAAGAGGCTGAATTTAAATGAGGGGGTCTGAACAATATTTTCTGTGAGGCATCTGCTTTAATCATTTACATTATTCACTAGGTTTTCCAGAACTGTAAATCTAAAATATATATTTGTGTAAGTGAGAATGTGTATGTAAATACACACATATATGCACAGATACACAAAGCATTATACACAGCCACACATTAGCACATATTCACACAGATACAGAAATGTGTTTGTATACAGAGGCACAACAGCTTAGGGCCTGGTTACAAATCGCTCTACACGAACGAGAAGACTCCTATTGACAATGATGGATTTTGGGATCAAGACCTTAGCGCCTTGGTTTCTCACCTCACCCTGAGTTTGCAGTGATATGAATCAGATTAAGGTTAAAGGAAAGGTAAGTCTTTATTTACCTTAAATTAATGGAAAAAATTACTTATTTGACACACATTACAGGAAAAAGAAAAAACTACAGAAAAACCCTACCCTGAGATGAAATCCTTAAGACCTTTCTGTCAAATGTTATATCCAACTGACCTCCTCACCCAAGTTTTCAGTACTGGCTCTCTACTCCGGGGTGTGTACCAAGAAAGACCTTGAGTAACTGTGCAGGGCTTCATCAAAGTCTGCTCAGGGGCCCCTCCAGCCCCAAGGCTTCCTTTAAAGATTTCTTTCTGAGTTAAGATTTCACGTTAACTCAGGTGGAAGGAAACTTAATCCTCCTCCCAGTGGTTGTCTCTGCTTAGTTTATGTTTATAGGTTAATTCTTGCCAAGGTTGCAAAAGGAGTCACCTAATGATTGCTGTGTGCTTCACTAAGCCCTAGACAGATTTTTGGTGCTCATGATTAATCAGGCCCTCTTCTCATTGTTCTTTCAATTACCAGAGGGCCTTTTTTTTTTCATGTAAATTCATCTACTTGCTAGCAATACTTAATGCTTTCATACAGGTATGCTTTATGTATATAGCAACTACTGTCTCAGTTTTCACGTGTGTGAAGGCAAGTGAGGCTGATAAGGATTTTGAGAGCCTGCTGCTCCTCACCCCTCTTCTGGAGGGACACCAAGATTGTCTTTTCCCAGCTGTGGTTACTGTGTACAGATCGGCCCTCTTACTGAGAATTCCTTTTCAGAGACTTCCTTAGGACAGTGTAGAACCAAAGGAAGATTCATGATGGCAAATAACAAAAGACAAAGGCCAGCAGTAACCCAGACTCAGAGTCTGATGCTCACATATTCATTCTGACATTATATCCCACATAAGGAGAATCCGCTGTGCCAGCTTCTGTGTAACTATGTCATCTGCATAACTAATCCTTTTATTTCCATGTCCCAGTTTAGTGCCTGGTAAAGCAATGGCACAAAGCAGTAGCTGTCACTTTGTTTCAAGAGAAGGGCAGAGGACTAGAAATGGCTGAGTTCTACTGCACCTCTTCTGACAGGACACAGGGATTGCCTGTTTAAAGAAATCTGCCACTGCTCCTTCCATTATTATTCATTTGTTACAAACAGCCCACTTTTTTGTTTTTGGGTTGTGGTTTTTTTTTGTTTGTTTGTTTGTTTGGTTTTTTTTTTTTTACTCCCCATTGGAACTCCATGCCTTTCACTTCTCACTCCCTTCTATTTAATAATGTGTTTCTTGATTCTAGCAGATCTGTTTTTTCAAGTTCAGGGACAGTTGGTATTCTTGCACAGGAGGTTGTCTTACTCTGGTATCTATGTGCTTCAATAATTGTTGCTTTCTTGGAGGGTAACAGAGAAAAAGTGATATCAGAAAAATACTCAAACACTGCAAATCTCTCTTAATACAGCATTCACTGAGTTATATAGGGCATCTTAAAAATATCACATTTTTTAATTATGTACAACAGACAAGTCGATGAAGAATCGTGCATGAGATCCAGGCACTCTGAAGACCAATGAAAAGGAATTTCACCTCTTTTTATGAAGCTGAGACCAAGTGATTAAAATGATTGTATCCTATCATCTTAATTCTCTTTCCTCTAAGCTTTATTTAATGGTGCCCTCTTCCTCTGCTTAACCAAAATGATGAATTAATCCAGTTTCTCCCCTGTGGGGCAGAAGAAAAGCAATATTCACACATCCAATTCTGCCTATACTTTATTCACAAGGCACACTACATATACCCATTTTTTTCCCTCCTTGATTGTTTTATATTGTTATCCTGAGGAATAGAAACAGATCATAGAATTTGCGACTGTGAGACATTCTGATAAGACAAGAAATCAGATGCAGTGCAAAACTGCGCAACGTAATTTGGAACAAAGCACTGCTGAGAGGATGAGAAAGAGGGACAGACATATATTTCCAGATGATAAAGAGGGGCTGGCTTGCCCAGGATGTGCACTCTTGAAGCAGTTCCACAGCCCTAACAGGTCTATGACCTTTAGCTGGCTACTTGGGAGTTCTGACACTGCCCTAGAAGTGAGCTGGGAACCTGGGCTCTGGCCGTGCCCCAGCCAGCCCCATAGAGTGCTTGTGAGGGTATCCTCAAAGCCCAATGCCCTAACCAGACCCAGCTCTTGAGAGTTCTTGTGTTTCCTGGCTGGAAATTCAGGAAGTGTAGCCCAGGGCCTTTGAACAGGGACTGGATGAACCATTATCCTGAAGTGCCCCTGGTGAAGGCTGCCTGAATCTACCAGTTTGTGTCCCACAGGGCATTGTGACATAACCCTCAACACCAGGCCTCACAAAAAGTCCTGCCACTCCAAACCACACCGTGTCATCTCCATGGCTCTGTGGCACAGGCAGAACATGTATCCTTTCCACACACCTGATCCTCACATCAGCATCTAGACCTGCTGTCAGCTTCTCCTGTCCAAGGGATTGGAGGCAGTTTGGAGGTGGGAGCTGGTGTAGGTGCTTCTATTCAACGTCATGCATTACTTCTAAGAAGACATTTTGAAAGGCTTTTCTGAAGCAGCACTTTCATTCAAAGATTAATTTGATTTGGAGTCTTAGATGGAAAAAGTTTTGTATCGGAGTTATAAACAGAGTAAAATTGAAAATAAGGCAGTCACTCCTACTTAGATTTGGATATATTCCTGCCTCAGGAGCGAATAACAACTGTAGATACTTGTCAGGGAAGTTGCTGTAGAGTTTATACATTATCCCAAAAGAAGAAGGCAGGGATCCAATATTTTCACTAATATTTGCAGGGAAGAAAATTCTGGCTTACAGATGTGGCTGTGGGCCTTCTCCAGCCAAAGAATGGCCACCAGCCCAAAGCAAGTTTTTGATGGCCAGGCCCATGCACAGATTAGGCAGGCTGTGTTGTACATCTGTATCTGCCAAGGCTGATGACAGACTTCACTCCAGTAAGAGTTGCTATTTAGTGCTCTGTACTCGGCCAATGGGCCCCTTCGTCAGTGATTCTCTGCTCCACTTAATGACCATGACTCCAGTGGATGGAAATAGGCCATCTCAGAAGATGCCAACCTTTCTTGAGTCTGAGTGGCACCTGGCTGCTCTGAGCTGGAAGTCTTGATTAAGACTCTTTTGGTGTATCTTCTCTGAGTAATATTTCCCTATTCATCTTGGATAAACCTTAGTGACAAATAAGGAGTAATGCAGGATGTCAGTGAATTTTCTGGGTTATTCTGCTCACAAAAAGGGAAAGATTAGAAATGGGGATATGCATTGAACCAAATTTTTGTTAGAGGAATGTGGGTAGGGTAAGAGACCTCTTGTATTTGGGTCCAAACTGCAGGATCATCCATTATCCAGACTCTTGGCACAGGGCAAAATATTTTCACTTGATGAAGCCTTTGTCATGGTAATTGATTACTATATTGTCACATCTTTTCATTTAATCACATCTTTTCAGACACTGCCAAGGTCTGGGTTGACTGCAGCAGGGTCATGGAAGTTATCATTCAGAGAGAGAATAGATTGTGACAGTAGCACAGGGCACCCATATGTTTCCGAAAAACATCTGTTTGAGTGCCCTTTTCAGGAGGCTACAACAGTGCAGAAAATGAAGGCTAGAAGTGGGCAGGGACTTTTAGATGGCACAGAGCATGTATTGGGCAGATCAGTGAGGTAAAGGCAAATACCAGAAGGGCCTTGCTCAGGGAGCTTAAAGAACAGCCTCTGGATGGTTTGAAGGTTTGTCTAACCATGTGATATCTACATATCACATGTGATTCATTTTGGGTATGTAGGTGTCCTAAAAGTCTGAAGTGTGAATTTGCAATGTGCAGCTCAAGCAATACCACTAGTGGAGAACCCCTTCCAGTGGGGGTTTTCAGCAAAGCCATTAGCACTAAATGATGACCTGAAAACTTGAGATAGCCAGCAGACCTCTTTCACTGACGTGTCACTTTTACCTTGGAGATGAGAGGTTGTTTGAGGCCAGTAAGAAAGTCCTTTTATACTTCAAGGCTCAGTAGGCAACATGAAAATAAAGAAAGTGAACAATGCCTTCATAGGTTGACCAAGAAACCAAATGAGATGCTCTTAAATGTATTTCCCAGCCTTAACAGTAGCACCTTAAAAGGAAGCAATTTTAATGTTTAGGGCAATTGAAAAATGACCCAGAACAACTGAATCCATAGCAGCAAAGATTAAAGAAAGCGCATACCACCTTTTTTGTATGGTCAATTTCTCCTTAAGGAAGATAACTCAAGCCTATGTATACATTCATGAAAGAGCAGATTTAGATGAAATATTGAGCTGCAACTTGAACAAGAGCAATGTTAAAAGGTAGTTTTCTAATAAAGATTCCATCCGCATAACTAATGGCTTACTGCAGCATAATAAACCTACCCCTCCTACATAATTATGTAGGAAGTGTAATACTGTGTTGCCCTGGTCCAACAGTCTCCTCCCCATCACACATTCACACACAAATTCCATTTGTAATTAACAGGAAAATTCTCTGTATTAGTTTTCTTTGCACTTTACAGAATAACAGAGAGATTAATTAAGAGGTCTGTATTTCTATTTCAAGGTTCAAGTACTTTCATTGAGCACATTGTGCTTTCAAAATCTGTAGTGTCAGCAGAATTCCTTACTTCAAAACACAGACATTTCTCTTCCTTAAGTTTTACTTTTATATATGCATTAAATGATTGTGAATAGGTAGGAGGCCCAAATCACACTGTCACCTGTTATGTATCTAAGCTGTGCTGTAGATGTGTGCAACACAAACACAGAAAAAAACAGTTTTCAATGGTGCTCATGACTTACTGCTGTCTTTAAATATAGTCCTTCATTAGCAAATCAGCCAAATGAATAGAGAAACTCTGTTTTCCCTCTAATTATTATCTTCTGTAACATATTTTTTCTACTCTTTCTTTTTTTCCAGTGGGTGAACCATGCCATTGAGTCGACCATTTATGTAGCTGTTAATCCTAAAAAAATATTTATTTTTGTGACTAATTTCTGTACAGGAGTACAGCCCCTAGATGTGAGAGTTTGGACAACAGGGAAGGTGATATAAACCACTCGGTCCTGTTCAGCAGAAATCTTTGAGATTTGCTCACTAAGTTTACATCTCTCCTTGAACATGAACAGAGATTTAAATGACCACCCTGAAGAGGAGTCTTGGTGTCTGCAAATGAATATACAAAAATCAGGATATAGCAAAGCTGTACTTTCTTCCACTTGTATCCATAAAAACACTTTTCTGCTGCCGTGCCCAACTCTAGCTCTGTGAAATGGGAAGGGATTTCTCTGGAATGAAAGAAATGCTATCTCATGAGAGAATTGGATGGAGATCTGGGGCCAGACTTCTGCTTGTTTAGTTCCTAAGCAGCTGAGTATTTTCAGTAACTCCCATGGAGATCTGCAGCCATAAGAACACTCACTCATTAATAAGGCACTGCCAATCAGGCATTAAGGGGCAATGCTTTTCTGTGGACCCTTGTAATCAAGAATTTAAGCTCAAGGTCAGAGTTAAAATGCAGAAAGGAAGGGAACAGTTTTCCTGCAAGGCAGGGGCCAAGGATCTGCACTTTGAAACTGCGGTAATACTTTTATGAAGACTTTCTTGTTGACACCATCAGCACACAGAGTTCTTGTGAGTGAGAAAAACACTATCATTAAACCAGAGGAGTTCCAGAGGCAGCTGATCATTCTGGGATGTGCTTCCAAAGGCACACTTTTTGTCCATCAGGGTTAACTAAGGCTTACTTTATATGATCTTGCATAATGTTAATATATAGTTATCACAAAGAAAAAGACTAAGCAGCAAATAATAGCTAACAGACCTAGATCCAACCATTTACTTTCTAATATGTCACTGAAAAGTTATTGAGAAACAAGGTATGTTTGTATTTTTAAAATAGATTGTAGTGAAGTGTAATAAATTGAATATAAACTGTGAAGATAGTTGTAGCTGATCTGCAGCATATAAAAACATCTGGGACCAGACTCTGAGAAGACTTCAGTACCTATTCCCTTTCATTTCATGACCACGAATAGCATTGCTTAAAGACTACTTAGAAAGTGTAAAATTTTCATTACTTTCTGAAATACATGCTTCACTACATTTCTGATTTTTTTTCATTCTCTGCAGATTCATGACAAAATGTCTTACAGTTCAGTGGTGAATCAAGGGCAAACAAAGAGCTAATTAAATTATCATGAATAATTATATATGTTGTTTAAGTTCTTTGGTGTAGGCATACAGTCTTATCTCAATATGTTATCTAAAGTCAATCAACATGAACAATGGGAATATTTATTCCAAATTTTTAAAAATAATGTTTTCATGACAATGCTTTTCAACTCCTGGAAAAGGAATGGGATTGACATATATTAGAAAACATGTTCTAAATAGGTTTTAAAGGCCTAAGGCAACTGAGTGTATAATAAAATATTCACTGACTGCTCCGTATTAGTGAATGTACTGGAATACACTGATTAACAGATCATAACACCATTGTTTTAGACAAAGCCTGGATGATAAAGGCAACCCAAAAGCCTAGCTCTTATTCAGAAAATGCAATGGATGTCATTTCCCAATAATATGGAATGCAGCTAAAAAGTTTTGAGCGTTTTAAAAGTTCTGTACACCATAAAATTAAAAGACCAGCACTAAATCAAAGCAAATATAAGAATCACAGAAATGAGGCATTGTGGAAGAAAAGTCTTGCCTCTGTGCCAGCAGCAGTCACAACACTGACAAGTTCCACTCTTGCTCAGCCCCTGGGCTGCATCACCCTTGTCAGTCTCAGGCGGACTTGAGCACTCATGGGTGATACATTTCAGTCAGACAGTCCAACCCAGAGAGGAGAATAGCAAAATAAGGTAACCAAGATAGAAATATCAATTGTTTTTTTTGAAGGATGGATAAATTTTTGTGTGAAATTAGACCTCTTTTTTTTTTTTTTCTGAAATATTTGTTGAAATAATTTGCAATGCTAAAAAATTTATGAAACAAAAAAAAAGGTAGCATTTTTATCTGATATACATTGGAAAAATCTTGATTATTCTATCAAGAAGTATTCTGTTTGAAGCTTACTTGCACTGCCTGAGAAAGATCCCAATGAGATAATGTTCTGCAGGCCTTTTTCCAGTTTCCAGTTGTCTTCTCAAAAATCAGAGATCCACTTGGCAGTGCTTGCCCTCATTATGGAGAGAGGGAGTTGAAAAGCATTGTCATGAAAACATTATTTTTAAAAATTTGGAATAAATATTCCCATTGTTCATGTTGATTGACTTTAGATAACATATTGAGATAAGACTGTATGCCTACACCAAAGAACTTAAACAACATATATAATTATTCATGATAATTTAATTAGCTCTTTGTTTGCCCTTGATTCACCACTGAACTGTAAGACATTTTGTCATGAATCTGCAGAGAATGAAAAAAAATCAGAAATGTAGTGAAGCATGTATTTCAGAAAGTAATGAAAATTTTACACTTTCTAAGTAGTCTTTAACAGCCTGTCATCCAAGGGAAAATCCCTATGGGTCTTCTAATCCCAAACAATATTTTTGGAAAATCCTGTCATCTCTTCCTACTACAGCCTTCTATAATTGAGGCTGAGAACAGGATTCAGTTAATCTTTGGGTCTACCTAAGTATTTATCACCCTTCAAGTCTGCCTTTCAAGGTGCCTACGTAAAGCTCAATGTGTTTTGAAGCGTAGACTGCTAAATCATGCTGTGCTGAAGATTTCTTTATGCAAACAAGATCTGTCTTAAAAATTTAAAAAAACCCAGAAACCAGAACTATTTATTCCAAGCAAGGGAAACTCCATCTGCCTTTAATCAGCACATGGACAACAAAGAGACAGTGCAGATTCTCAGACATATGCTTCTGCACAGATGTGTAAGCCAGAGATTGTGGGTGTGTAAGACACAGGCTAATACATATCCCTGTGCAGAAGTTTATCCCCATGCCCCTCATAAATGACAGACACATGCAGAATTGCTGTTCCTCTCCAGATTGTGTCCACAGGTTTGCACAGCCATTAGAATTTTTTTTAAGACAGAGTTATTCTGGGGTATCTCATAAAACAAACAAAAAATTAGAAAATTGTTTTTTTTTTTTTTTTTTTTAGGATAACTGAGGGAAAAAAGGATCTTTTAAAAAGCAATTGACAGTGACAATAGTTATGAGGTTAACTTCTACTAACATGACCTCAATTTGAGATACCTTTTCATCACCAGCTCAGATAGTAGAAAACAAAAATCATTATATATCAGGTAGTTGCTCAGAAATCCAAGAGGGCATGAATGGAGAACCTTGATTTATTTCTTAGTGGATAAATATGGATTCACAGTATGCAAATACTTCTCATGCTGTCAAAAGTCACTAAATTCTCTGTGATCAAGGGCTGATTAGGAATCATAAAGGATATTCATCTTTTTTCTTCATCTAAAAAACCACTCTCTACAGAATAGGGCAGAACTTAAAGGATGATGGTGGCTTTTTTATATGTTCATAAAGTTCAACAAAACGTGGGCCTGCACCTGAGGCTGTAGTGTCTGGCATCTGTCTCACAGCTGCTTTTGTACTTCAGTGCAACTTTGTAAATATAAGTGTCTTAAACCCTATATGGTTGGAGCTCATGTTTAACCAAACCTTGTTCCTGAAACAGATTTAATATGAGAGAAAGAAACTTTTTGTTTCCTGCAGCAGTGTCAGACTTGCCAGACCCACACTCTCTGTTCATCATCACCTGGTGAGATAATGAAACACATACCCATACCAGCCATGAAACCCCTGCAGTGATCTCCCTGATCCTTTTCCCTCAGCCCTCAGGGACTCTGTTCCTTCAGGAACATCCCTGGTTTGATCTGTGGCTCTAGAATAATTTAGTTACATTAATAACCTGTAACAGTATGAATGCTGTTCTGCAGAATTCCACAAAATTAATTTATTTTTAAACCCTGTGTTTTAATTGTTATATTCAGCACATTTCTAATGGGGAATGTGGACAAGAGAGAAGTGGTCTTAAAATACTTTCCTCTATACTTATTTTAAAACTTTGGTGCTACAAGATGTAGGAAAATAGCATCATTTGTTGGTTTGGGTTTTTTTTTCTGGGAGGAACGGGAAAGGGAACAGATCACTCAGTTTACTTCTGCTGCATCCTAGGAGACTGTGCCTAGTATATCTGCATAGTGCTCATTTAACATATTTCATGTTTTAGGAGGCATAAAGTTCCACCTCATGGGATGCATGGCCCTAATAAGCCCAGTGAGATGTGGCCAGACTTGTCACGTTAGTGGGCTTTCAGAAAACAGTGCTAAATTCATTGCTTTTTTTTCTCCATAAACCTGATCCAAGCTCAGGTCTCAAGCTGAGAGGCTGGTGAATTAACCTAAAGTGCCCACTTGACTCTCTCCTAACTATCATGATAGATTTCTTTTAATCTGCTGCAGAAAATAAATTGCTGAAGAAAAAAATAAAGATTTGTAGTCTTTAAAGACTAATCACTTTCAGGCACTGTATGGCAAACAGCAAGATTCAGAATGAATCCTTTTACTGCATTACTCATGACAGCTTACAACCCAGACTATTAAACATTCATCAATAAAAATTTAACATCCCATCTTCCCTTTGATATCCTCAACTGCTCCCTACATAAGACAACAAGAAGGCTTTCCACAGCTCAGTGTGATGGCAGGACATCAAAGCAGCCTCCACAGCCAGCCTGCTTCGAACAGTGCCTTGTATTTAGAAAGTAGAGTTGTCACATGGGAGGGGAAAAAGCAATGCAGGAGATTCTCTCTGGTTTGAATACATATAATCCCTCCCAAGGGGTGCATTATGGCCATGTTGTGGCTAAGCAGCAAGTTGCAATTCACTTTTCTTCGTATAAGGATATGACAGACCACACAAAAGGAAAAGAAGAGCTGGATATTTTCTTTTGTTAAGCAATGAACACTACATGCCAGACTTTAACTGCAGGGAAAAAAAAGAACAGGCTTTTGCTTAAAAAATTACCAGGTTTTATTATATCCTGGATTGACGAATTTGTTGTAGCTACTGTTTGCTAGAGAAGTGAAGACTGTAAACAAATAAATCTCTTTGCTTTTCTGCCACCTACTGAAGATTTGTGCTCGCCATTGAAAAGCCAAGCAAGGAATTTTCAATGGGCAAATTCAGTTCAATTGAGCAACTTCCATTTTTAGCTTCTTAACAGAAAACTCTGAAATAAACCACCCCCAACCACTGCTGGGCCTCAGTTGTATTTACTGTCCTGAACCTGACTCAAATCCCATTGTAAGAGTTCTGTGATGCTG